CCCGTGCCAGCTGGGAAGAGCCATGCTGGCTCCTGGAGGCCATCTCACGTGGACCAGGCTCTCCCACCTGCAGCAGCACACCCAGCACTCCCAGCACAGGGTGGTTTCGCTCCCTCACACACGCTAAGCCCCCCACCTCGCTCGATGGCCTCCACCCTTCCTCCTCATTCCTCACGTGCCCTCCTTCTTTCCACCAGGTGTTTTTGCATAAATACAAGAGCAAAGAGGAGAGAGATGCAGCTCGATCGGACAAGAAATCATCCTTCCCCAAAGGCCACCTCTCCAGCCAAAAGCTGCCTTACCAGAACGGACACTCCGGGGGCCTCTACTCCTCATCCTCCTCTTCCTCCTCTCCCCCAGCTGCCAGCTCTGCCCTGTGTGGCAGCTCCTCCTGTGATGTCTCACTGATGATGATGGTGGGCGAGCCAGATTCGGTTCCTCCGGGCCGAGGGATCTGTTTGGACCTGGCCATTTTGGACAGTGCTTTCCTCCTCTCTCAGGTTGTCCCCTCTCTCTTCATGGGGTCCATCGTCCAGTTTACGCAGTCGGTGACTGCCTACATGGTGTCAGCTGCCAGCTTTGGCGTCGTTGCCATTTACTTTGCAACCAAAGTTGTCTTTGATAAGAGTGACATGGCCAAGTACTCGGTGTGATGGTGAATGCACCGGGGGCAGCACGTGGGTGCTGAGATGAGGGGTGTGCACATCCCCATGGCTGCTTGTGGGGTGCTCCATGTTGTTTGTGCTGTCCCTGTGCTGCTGCTGGGAGCCCCAGTGCTGCTCTGGGGCTGGGGATGGCAGAGGGGCGGCAGGGATAATCTCAGGTGTAAATAGGAGGCACTGGGGGCATCGTGCTTTGGGCCATCAGTGCTTTCCACACAGTGCCTTTCTCAAAAGTAAGCACTGCACAGCCAGCACCAAAGGGATTGCACTGGGGGGAGGAAGGAATCGGGCTTTTCCTTTAGTAATGGGTGTGGGGAGGGGGGAAGAGCCACTGGCTCTCCTGCCTTCCAGTGATGGATGTATCCTCTGCCCCCACTTGCTGCAGTTGTACTCAACTTATTGAGTAACGCTTCCTCAAAGAGGACACTGAGAGGAGATTCACCTTGGAAGAAGGATGGGAGCTCAGGTTTGGCTGTGGAGCAGGAGGGATGTGTGTCTGTTCTGACAGGGAGAAACCACCCAGGAGAAAAGTCACTATGGCATGTTCTGGAAAAACAAGGAACGTTTCCTTAGGACCGATTCCAAAAGATGACTTATCTTTTACCTAGGCACCAAATTGCATCAGATGGAAAGGACTGCTTAACATTTTTATTTCTTTTTTTAAGAATGATTCTTTTTAGCTTTCCTTTAGCTGGATAACTGACCTCTCTCTCAGTGCCCAGAACAGCTGCCTGCTCTCTCCCAGCGCCTCCTACCAGATCCAGACTGATCTGCACCCCCAAACCCGACCCCTGAATGATGCTGCAGCATCATGAGGGTTCAATCCTGCAGCGAGGGAGGAGAACAGGCAGAGCTCTCCACGAAGGCGATCTGGGGACAAACACATCTCATCAAATTCTAATCTGCTCCAAGTGCCTCTCAATCCCATAACACTGGGACCAGTGCTGCTGGGTTGCTCAGCCCTCAGATGTGAGTCACCTCCTGCTGGCCCGAGACAAGTGCACCAGCTGCACCAATGCTCTGCCACTCAGAGATCACCCCTGTGCTGAGCAGGAGCTGAGATCCCAGCTTGCAGTTAGCACATAGGTTCTGAAATGGTGCAGGCAATGGTGCAGGCGATGCCCAGAGTGAGGCATCTGGAGGCAGGGCTGGGGGCTGGGACTCAGCAGCCCTCAGTTTCAGCTGCAAACAAAGTGTTTGTGACCAGTTTTCAGTGGAGGTGTGTGGGCAGTGAGATGCGCTGGTGAGGCACTGCTGAAGGGCAAAATGTTGCTATTTTTGCAAGGTGGTGGCAGAATATTCCTTGGCATGGAAGTGTGATTACTGCCCTGCTGTTTGCAGGCGGGTCCTAAGAGGGCTTCTCCTCACTGCTTTAAACGCATCTTTCCCGTAAGGGGTGACTTTTTGTTTTATTTCTCCTCAAATTATATGCCTACCAGCTTCCCTTTCCCACAAGAAGCCCCGTGTGCTGAAATGCAGCTGTTTTGGGAATGGATTTGGCAGCTGCGTAAGCATTGACGGAAGCGGTTTTGTGTGTGTGCTTCCAGCCCTGGTCTCCGTCCACCCCAGACTTCAGGGGGAAATCCTGCAGGCAGAAGGTCGCTACCAAAGGTGCAGCACTTCTTGAATGCTCGCAGGGATCAGTAACCTTTTCAAAGAGGTCCCTGCATGAGTTGCTGGAACGCTTTGCCATTTGTTTAAGTGCCTGAAGAGTGCTTCCTCAACACAGCCCCGGTGTGCAGGTGGGATGATGAGGGCCTTGAGAGCTTCGTTAAGAACATCCAAGTGATGCTTGAGAGAGCAGTGGGCTCAGGGGGTTGGCAGCCTTTGCTCTGAACATCTTTTGGTTTGCAGTGTCAGAGCCAAAGGTGGTGCAGTTCTTCATCCTTAACTCATAGCTGTCCCTCGAGAGCGGGAGGCTGAAACCTGCCTGATTCCCCCATGCACAGAGGTGGCTTTGGAGTAGTGATGTACCAGGAGTGGCTTGTGGTGACATTGGGTGCTGCAGGCTGGGTGTCCCAGCTGAGCTGGAGGGCCTGAGGTCAGTCCATGCTGGTTGGGGCCTCCGCTCTGCCCTCTGCCCTCCACTCAAGCCCTCTGATCACCCATCCACATCTGCCCTGTGTTCAGGCTTTGGTGCCCAGGTCTTGGTGGCAACTCTGATCTTACACATCCGGGGAGGTGCCTGCATTTCCTTCATTTATGTTCTGAAAAGGCCATTGAGCCCATGGCTGTGGCTAGCTGCTCTTGCTGCTTCATTCCAGGTCGGTGCCTGGTGTCTCACCTTGGCCTGACCTGGGAGATGCTTGGTGACACAGCTCCTTCTCTGCAGAGATGTGGTCCCATCTCACCATCCATTCACATCCTGGCTGTGCTGCTCTTGTTCCAGTCAGCTTAGCAAGTGTGAGAAGAGCTCCTGGATATATCTACCAAGAGGCTCTCTGATTTCTCAGCTCCCTCTCCCCCCTTCTTTCCATTTCCTCAGCTGGAGTGAAACCCTGTGGATCCTGTAATTGCTCCTTTCCTCCTTGCCCTCCTATTGCACAGGAGAAATCTGCTGGGCCCTCTGCCAGCTCCCAACACAGTGGGCAGATGGGTGCAGGGAGGAGCTCTTGCCAAAGCCCGTTGCTCTTTGCAAACCCTGTCCCCTGCGGGAGCCCAAACCCAGACAGATGGGGGCTGTCTGCAAGAGAGCGCTGTAGAAAACCACAGTGTGCAGCCTGGTCCTGGATCATTACCAAAAGCCTTTTTTCCTAGGTCAGGATGTCACTGAGGCTTAAAGGAGAGGCATTTTCCAGGATACGTACTGAGAAACTGCTCTCTTCATAAGATTGTCCTTTCTGGGTAAGCAGTGTGCTGCTAGGACCAGCTCCCTGTGTCTGCATCCCACACAGCCCAGCAGGGGACACAGGTATGTTCTGGTGAACAAAAGCACACCCCTTGCACACTGTTACTGATCTAACCAGTGCGAGCACAGAATTCTCCTTCAGACTTGATCATAGTGTACAATTTATAGGTATGGGTGCAGGCTTCTCAGAGGCTGTTGCTGGGAGCCCTTCTGTTTCTGTAGGTGCACTTCTGCTTGGGTGAGCCACACTGTGCCTCTCCTTTCCTGTTGCAAGGTGGTGATTATGGGATGTGGAGGGGAAAAGGGAGAAAGTATTTTCTAACAGGAGATGATTGCTGTGGATTCTCCGGGCGAGGGAAGAGCGTTTGATGCTGTTTTTTCCTTTCGAGATCACATACTGTCTGCGAGACGCGAATGTTTTATTTATTCAGTAGAGTAAATATTTTGTATACGATGCGAGAAGAAGGCTGTTATAATTTTATTATGTAAAGGAGGAAATTAAAGGTGTTGGACGGACGGACGGACGGACGTTGTGCGTTACTGCCGTGCGCCGCAAGGGGGCGCCATCACCGCGGCGGCTCCGCAGCGCTGCCGCTCCGCGCACACAGAGAGCGGCGCCGCGTTCCGGCCGTCGTCGACCGGCTGCGTTAAACAGCAGTTAAACATCGTTAAACAGCTGAGATTTCCCCCAATTCCTGCAAGGAACTGCGGTAATATCAGCTCTTACCCGGTGTCTCAGGTTTGTATTTAAGCAAGTGGCACCCGAGGGTGTTCTCCCACAGACAGCGATGAGCTGCCCTGTCCGAGCAACCACACGCCTTCAGTTTTTGGTTTAGGAGTTTTTGTTTGCTTGTGGTTGGTTGGTTTGTTTTTTGTCCTGTTCAGACTCGGGAGAGCTTTTCTTCAGCCTCAAATTGCTCTCTAACAAAGCAGAGGAATGTACATTCATTTCCTTGGCTTTACGGTGCTCTCTGGCAGATGAGTGTCCTCCAGTCTCTGCCGTGCAAACAGCGACAAGAAAAACCTCATTTCCTACCAGGGCGCTTCCAGCCTCAGAACTGTTCACCTGCTTGAAAATAGTTGACCCCAAACCTCTGTCACCATCAAACCCTACGAGTGCTTGGAAACAGCAGAGGAAAACGCGATTCCCTGCTCAGTGCGTTTGCCTCCACGCGGGGACCTCACGCTCTCGGTTTTGTTACTCCGGTGCAGACTGCAGCTACCTGCCAGGGCACGGCTACCTTTCCCTCGTCCTTTTCTTTCTCTGAAACGCTGAAAAAGGAAAAGATAAGATAGCAGAGCCGGGGGCATCTCCTGCGGGATCGGCCGCAGCGGCGCAGCGACGCGGAGCCGCCCCCCAGAGCCGAACCCCCGCGGGGCGGAGCGGGCGCGGAGCCGCCCCTGGGCGATGGGACCGCGGTGGCAGCGCGGAGCCCAACAGGTGAGGATGAGGGGCTGCCGGGGGGTGAATGGGGCAGGAGGGGGGGGGGGGGGATCCGGCCGTTCCCGATGCGCCGGGTCCGGTTCGGGCTGCAGACACCCGCGTGTCCTTGGCTGGGTCGGAGCGTGGGGGGCATCCTTTTATTTCGACGGGATCTGCTCCACGTGGCACCGCTATAAAGAGCCTTTGAGCGCGTTTTGTCCCGAGGGCTCTGGGAGGGCAGGCTGCGCCCCGGGGTAAGTCGGGGTTGTGGGGCTGCGGAGTTGGTGGAGCGGTCATTCAGCGCCGCTCACACTGACTTTGGCCCGTGATTTTCCCTCTGTATGAGAGCTGCATGTCTGCGGAGTTCAGGCAGTGATTGAGCGCTCCTGGGAATCTGAGCAGCTACAGGGGTGGAAATGCAAGGTGGAGGGCAGCAGCGCTGACCTTGTTGTGCAGCACGTTGGCTTGAAGGCCAAAGTGGGGCCTCGGTGTCACTGCAGTGCTTCATCTGGGGTGACAGAATGGTGGATGTGCATTTCTGCGGGTTGATAAGTCACTGCTATCTGTAACACATCCCCGATGTCCATTAGTGGAGCTCCCCATTAGTTGCCCTCTGAGAGGTCAGGCATTGCTATTGCTGCTCTTAGAGGGCATCAGAGCTCTGCTGGAGCTGCACGAGGCTGCAGGAAACCTGCCCAGGTCTGCTGAGCCCCAGACCTTCCTGCCCTCTGGTTGTGCTTTTGTTTGTGTTGCTCACTCAACAGAACTGTTGGCTTTGGATTTGTGGGATATATATACGAAATAAACCTTCAGAGCTGCGGAGTTCATGGTGTAATTCAGTTATCCTTGGGGGCATTCTGAAAGGATGAAGACTTCCTGAGCTGCTCTGCAAGGTGGAAAATCAGGTTGGAAAACAGCAGTGTTTGGTAGCCAGAGGGGGAAGGCTCTTGAGAGCCTCTGAAGCGTGCAGACGGAGCTGATGAGAGGGTCAGAAAGCAGAGATCAGAGGATCAGAACACTGGAACAGAGGCAGGGTGCGATTTGGTGCTGCCTTTCAGGTGATGATTCAGAGCATGGATTTGTGTTGTGATGAAAACACGCAGCCTGCAGGCTGAGGTTCATCCAAGCCCCGTCCTCACCTCGCATGGGAGCACAGCTGGCTCTGCTCCTCACAACCTGTTGGCACAGAGCTGTGCTGGGGACGGCTGTGTGCAGCCCCAAGTGACGCAGTGCAACTCTGGGCAAACGGGGAGCTTAGGTGGGGATTATTTCTTCTTCAAGGAAGAGCCTTTCTGTTATATCCAGGCTGCTTCTCAGAAATTCCCTCTCCCAGCTCGCAGGACCCTGGGGAAGCACTGATAAGGAGGACTGGCTCAACTGGTTTGCAGCTCTGCAGAAATCTCATGGACTTGTTTACTCTGGAAAACACTCCTAGGTGACTTTGGCATCGGTTTTCTTTCTCTTGAAAACTCACTTTCCTTATTAAAAGTCCAAGGCAAGCAGGCAGGTGGGGCCGTGCCTCACTGGGTGTCTCAGTACTGTGATGATTCCCATCTGCTTTGAGCTGTGTGCCCTCAGGGGCCCCGTGAGCTGACCCCAGGTGGGCTGTGTCTGTCTGCACTGCTTTCTGAAGGAGTGCCACAGTGCAGGCTGACCTGCTGGATGTGCTCAGTGCCCCTCCAGGCACCACACGGTGCAGCACAGCGGTGCCCATGTGTTCCCTGGCAGCTCCCACGGTTATTAATGGTTCCCAAACCAGTTAGTTTGAACCTGGTTGTGATACGTCTGTGTTAGGTTGTCGTCGTGCCAATGTTTGGAGAAGCCAGAACCTTCCTCTGGATCTCCACTAACACCCATTTGTGAGCCACATGTCGGCCTTTGCCATCCAGCAGCACATTCCTGCCCTCTGGTGCAGGTGGAAGAGTTTCACTGTGTAGTTTTGCCTTAATAAACATCCCAGAGAAGTTTGGTTCTGGGAGGGATCGAGCCCTTAGCAGCCTCCATAGGAAGTGTTGGCGTGTGTTTTTTGAGCCGCAGCATCTTTATTATCAAACAAAGACCACTGACTGCTTTTGCTGTTTTCTTTCTAAGGCACGGTCTGTTACACTCAAAGCCTGGAGTTTTCTTGCCTGTTTCCCATTGGAAATAACCTTGGTGGTGTTCCCTTGCAGATGAGCAAAGATTTCCCCAGCCGAGGTGGTGCAGAGGCTCCTGATCCAGCCCAGCAGGAGCTCGGTGCAGGTGGGGGATGTGGGCTGGCCGGTGCTCTGTGTGAGCAGCCAGGAGCTGCCGACCCCTTCAGGTTCTTTGTCCCAGCAGCACAGCATGCCGCCATCCCTCCTGCCAAGGCACGGCGCCAAGGAAGGCCCTGACCACCTCCTGGAGGGCAGCACTGGCTGCCGTGAAGGCGACCCACTCCCCCTACCAGAGGCTGATGGGGAGGAGGAGAAGCCCCCCCTCACTGCCTGCGAGGGGCACCTTCAGCTGCCCGACTTCTGCTGCCGCCTTCCTCAGGACTTCATCCCCACCTTGGAGGAGATCGAGGAGTTCCTGAGGGAGAAGGCTGAGTTCCTGAAGGATGGAGAGAGCGAGCAGCACGTGGCTGGAGGGAGGGTTGAATCTGAGACCGGTTCGGGTGGCTCTGAGGGACATTCACTTCAAGCAGACAGCTCAGATGGTTCCCAGCCTGGAGGGACAGCAGATGGGAGCAACCAGGCAGCGGCTGATGGAGACGTTCCTGTTGTCCTCCATATCCAGCCTTTCCAGCTTGATAACAGCAGCCTGCCGGCACAGCCTGCTGTCAGAGTGACCCAAGTGGTCATCAGCTTACAGGGACAAAACCTGTCCCTCCTTCCTCAGCTCCAGCCTCCCGTGACCCTCATGGACCAAAAGTACATCAGGATCGCCCCGCTGCCCAACCCAATGGGAGCGAGGATGCTGGGGGGTGTGCAGGATCAGGAAGCAGCCCCTGCGTGTCCAAAAGCCCCCACACGTGTCCACAAGTGCCCACAGCTGGGCTGCAGCAAGGTGTACACCAAAAGCTCCCACCTGAAGGCCCACATCCGCCGGCACACCGGGGAGAAACCCTACAGCTGTGCCTGGCCCGACTGCAGCTGGCGGTAAGTGGGAGCCATGGATGGGGGGGGAAAAGCAGGTGAGACCCTTAAGGAGGCCCAGAGGGAAATAAAAAGTGTTCTGAGTCGCTCTTTGGCAATGTAGTTTGTGCAGCTGGGCTACAAAAATGGCTCTTCCAATGAATTCTTCTCCCAGAAAACAGGAGCTGCTGCTTCCTTCCCATGTTGGCTCAGCCGTCCCTTTGCTTTCTCTCGCTGTGTGCCCACCCTGCCTGCCTGTGTCCCCCCTTCTGGGCCTGCAGCATGGCTCCTTTGTGCATATTCTCCTGTTTGCTCTGTGCACAGCATTGCTTTCTTTCATCTCCGTTCCCTAAATAAACCACCCTGCCCTTCTCTGATTGCTTCCTGCTGCTGTGCTCTCTTCCTGGTACCACATGCCTGTCCTGAGGGGCAGGATGCTCAGCACAGCCTTTGGCAAGGAGGGTTAACAGTCCTCAGGTCTTGCATAGTGCTTCTCCTCAGCAGGATATCACAAGGAAAACTGGTGCTGGCAGCACTGAGCTTCCTTGGTTTCTTGTGCAACGCCTTGGCACCACCTCGCTGCCTTGATTCCCTGCACGGTGGAGGATGGCTGCTGTCTCAGGAGGAGCTGAGACTTTGGAACTCACTTTTTGCAATAGAGCTGGAAAAGAAGTAGTTGTGTGGATGAGCTGAGGACGTCCTTGGGATGCATTTAATCCTCACAGAGCTTTTTGAAGGGCAAACGTAATGTTTGCTGTACCAGGTGTGAGCGTGAAATCCTATTGCTGGGAGTCTGGGGTTACATCTGAAGCTCCTTGCTTTGTGCTTCTTTGCGTGGGCACGTTTCAGCCAGATGGAAAAACCCTTCCATCCTAATACTCCTGCCATCTGTGTTGGCTCCGTAGAGGCAGAACAGGAGTAAATCCTGCCCAGTCCTCCTGTCCAGCATTCCCCTGGCACTCGGACATGCAAAGCACGCTGCAGTCCCACCAACTCCCAGCCTCATCGAGGTGGCACTTTAGAAGGGCTGAGCATCACCTCCTTGCTCCCTGCTGGAGCTCTGTGCCAAGCAGAAGGGCGCAGGAGAATTGAGCAGGGATGTGCATGTGGTTAAAGGGATTTTCCAGGTGCTGCAGCTGATCTGCACCAGGTGTGGATATCACACAGCCAAAAGCAGTGTGAGCACTGGGTATTCCTGCAGTCCTCGCTGCTGCATCTTCAGTTAATTCGCATCGGCATGGAAACCTCTGCTCCTCTGCTGTGGGCTGGCTGCATTTGCTGCTCCTCCTTTGTGTTCTGTGCTAAGCCAGCTTGCAGGCTGCTCCTCTCTCCCAGCCCTGACACTGAAAACTCGCTGCCATTCTGAGAAACAAGGAGATGTTTGCAAGGAGAATGCGTGCTTAGGAAAAACAGGCGCTTCTCTCAACAGCAGTGCCTTTTTTGGCTAGATGTGTGAAGGAATAGGAACTCCTTGCCACTCTGAACTCTGTCCTCACATCCCTGCCAGCCTGAGCTGATGCCCCAAAGAGCAGTTCTCTCAGCATCTGTCCTTGGGGCCACCAGCTCTCCTTCCCACGAGCGTCAAAACAGAGGAAGGAAGCAGGTGAACACTTTAAAACCAACGGGAAGCAAGATCTCAGTGGCTGCACTCCTCTCTTTCCTATCTCTCAACCGCTCACTCGGAGAGGTTTCTTCCTTTCTGCTCCCTCCAGGAGGATCCTGGGCTGTTGTGCACCGCCTGGCACAGCGGCTGCGCCCTCCACGCTGCCCTTCTCCCGCAGGTTCTCCCGCTCAGACGAGCTCTCCCGACACAAGCGCTCTCACTCCGGTGTCAAACCGTACCAATGCGCCGCCTGCCAGAAGCGTTTTGCCCGCAGTGACCACCTGGCCAAGCACGTGAGGATCCACAGGGGCCAAACAAGCAGCACCAGGATGTAGGGCTGACCCGGCGAGGAGCAGTCCTGGTGGCAACGAAAGGAGTGCCGAAGAGGAGAAATGATTTTGTTGTAGCAAACGATGCGTGTTGGAGCTTTCCTCAAGGACAGGTTGAGTTCAGGGTTTGTTGCTTTGAAATCCACGTGGCGGAAATCTATTGGAGTCCTTGGGCAGGGTGACGTTGCTGCGGTGCGAGCAGGGACGTGCGTGGTGTCAGCAGAGGCAGGAAGGGATCGGGAGGGATGTAAGCAGCAGCACCAGCAGCAAAGCCCTTTTTTCACGTGCTGAAGGAGCATCTGTGTGCAGAGACACCGACGTGCGTGGATGCGGGAGAGCTGCATGCATTGGCTGGGGGGAGCGCTGCAACTTGCTGCTTGCTGACGTCCTCTTTGTATTTAACTTCTGGTTAATTAAAGGCCAACTCTTTGCTACCCGTGCCAGCTTGCCAAGCTTTTGCAAACATCTGGGAGGGAATTAGGTGCTTATACAAACAAAGAATGAAAGTCAGGAGTTCCAGCGAGGCGCTGTGTCCCTCCTATGTGGCTTTGCCTGCGTGTCTCAGGCTGATGTTTGATGCCTGCAGGCTCTTTGCGACTCAGTGTTTGTGCCATTATTCCATTGTGCTTCCAGGGCAGGATTTTGTGTCCTTGTGTCGAGCTGCTGCTTTGGTGAGGAGAGTTGGGATGTACCCAGAAGAAAGGCAGGGAAATGGGCCAAACCCTGTTCCCCCACCTAAAGCTGAGCCTAAACTCCTTGATTTATTCCTCACCTAGGATGTTTGGGGCTACAAGCATCAAAAAGAAGGGTCTGCTTCCCCTGAGTCTTTTCCTGTGTGCAAGCCACAGCTAATGGAACTCTGCTTTGGCTTCCAGCAAGTTGCTCTGTTTTTTAGGAGCTGCTGCATGTTTTTTTAGGAGAACACCTGCATTGCTTTCCAGGTCCCCAGGCACTTGAGCAGGGGTTACAACAGAAAGCACTGGAGCTGCTTAACTTCGGAGCCAAGCCTTTCCCAAAGGTCTGGGAGGGCTGGATTCTGGACGCTGGCTGAAACTCCTCCGTCCTTGGCTAGGTGTGGATAAGTCTGAGCAGAAAGCTGCTGCCTGCAGCGGGGTTTCTTTCCGTGGGAGCTTGTAGCACCCGTGACCTCAGCCACAGCTCTCCCCTATGGGGCACACAGGTGGCGCTGAACGCTCCTGCTGCCGCCCCGTGCCCGAGAAACACCTCCTGAGCGATCGTAACACTGAGCTCTGAATGACCAGCCAGGGCAGGCAGGTGTGCAAGGGCCTATTTTTGGTTGCCTTTTGTGTTGGTGGATTTTTACCTGACCAGGAATTCACTAAATGCCCTTTCCTTGAGGGCTTTCTCCAGGGGCTGCGTGCCAACGTGACTCATGCCCGTCTCGTGCTTTCATCTGCCCTTCTTTGCTCCTCTCCCTCATCCAGACTCTCCCAGCACACTCCCTGTTCGTTTTGGACCTGCCCCATCCTGCCTCCCTCTGTTTGCAGCCGAAGGCAACTGGGAAAGGCGCTTTTCCAAACCGGAGCAAGAAGAGCCGTGCCTCTGCCTTTGTGCCAGGCACTTCTCCCTCCTGCAGCAGCTATTTGCTGAGCAGACGCACGGGGTGGATCTGCCATGGAAGACGGGGCTGGGAGTGCTGGCGGTGCTGGCTTGCTGCTCACCTGGTTTGTTTTGCCATCTCTTTTAAGCAGACCGCAAAGGGAGGGGAGAGATTTTTATAAAATAAAGTACTCCAGATGCATATCTCTTGAGCAATGTGTGTTATAGTCTCACCTGCTTCCCTCTGGGGACTTGGGATGACTGGCTTAGAAGGTTTACTGAAGGCTCTGTAATTACCCATCCTTTGCTCCAGTGAGGATATTACTGTGCAGCAGAAACGCTTTGTGAAAGTGCAGATGAGAGCTGTGGCAATGGGAGGAACGAGGAAGAGGGGACCCTTCTGCCTTCCCACAGATAAAACTATGCTGGAGGTGCTGAGAAGCATCTCATCCGTGTGTCATTGGGGCTGCTGGGTCATACCCCAGCTCTGTGCTGAGCTGGGCTGCATGTCTGCCATGCTGGTGATGGGAGGAGATGGGAGGATCCGCTCGCAGTGAGAAGGCTGTCGGGTTGCTAAGCGCTGCTCTTTAGGAAATTAAATGCAAGCAGGCAGGAGTTGTAGCAGGGCAGGATGTGGGAAGAGCACAAAGAGAAATTCAGGCGACGTTTCTAAATCTGTCCGCCTGGATACAGGGATGAATTTACTCTGGATATAGCAGCAGGCAGCGCCGGCCCCACGCTGCAGCCCACGGCAGCACGGCTGTCCCAGGGCGTGCAGGAGGGATGTGGAGGATGATGCTGTGCAAGGGGCTGAATAGGGGGCTCTGCTGTGTGTTGGGTGCCTGGTGAGGGCAGATTTCTGCTATAAACCCATCAGGTTGATGACCAGCACCATCAAGGCCTCTCCAACAAGCTGGCACATCTCAATGAGGTGGGCAGCAGCATCCGGACCTGCTGTCCCCATGGTTGCATGATGAGCTTTCATTGTGTCTGTCCCCACTGTGTCCAGGCAGGAGGTGTGAGGTCCATGGGATTGTTTGGGCTGGACAAGAGGGGACTGATGGGGGTCCTCATGGTGTCCCTGCAGCTCCTATGGCAGCCTGTAGATTCTTATAGGGGAGCTCTGCTCCCAGCACCATCTCAACCAACCACACGTGATGCAAAGTCAGAGCCATGCAGTGAGATTTCTCTTTTTCAGGTGATTTTGCAATCTCTGCGCTTCTCCTCTTGGGCTGCCTGGTATTTTCCTACAGCCAACAGCTACATTTCACTTCCCAGCTTTATCCTTGCCTCCAGCTTGGCAACAATTCAGATAAAATGGTGGGCACAGTGGGGAGGGGTTGATGGTTGGACTTGGTGGTCTTTTCCAGCCGTAAGGATTCTATGACATCTGAACATCTGTACCCCAACACAACCGACCTTCACCAGCAGCCCCTCTCTGACTTCTCTTTTTGCTGTCTCTTCCCCTTTAAAACACTGTTGCTTGAGTGCTTCTTTTTAAGGCATCTTTACGTATGAGCTTTTTCTAAGACCTGCCTGCTTGCCTGCGCTATTTCATCCCATCCCTTTGTCCTACATATTTTCCCCCTTGTGATGCTGTCTAAGATGGGAACAAACCCACGTTCGCTTGCAAACCCACGGCAGGGGAAGCAGAACAAAATGAGAGTTGCACAAAGCAGGAAATTTATTCTCCCTCTCTAGGAAAGACCCTTTGGGGCTGTTTCTCAGTGAAGCTGTCACAGGCACTGAGCTGCAGCTGAGGCCACGTAGATGGCAGGGCACAGTGCAGGAGGGTTTTGTGTGCTGGGAGAGCCTGCAGTGCCTTTTGGGGTGCAGCTCACACATGGTTTCCTATCAGAGCACGTAAGTTTGGGGGCAGATATTATGCTGATGGTAAGTGGAAGGGGTTGGGGCAGAAAGCAGCCGGATCCAGGAGCTCTGACTAACATGTGTGAACCCGGGTGCTCCTCCTTCCCCAAACAAACGGATTGAGCTCTGTTTGAGGTACACATGAGCAGATGTTGGCAAACCTCCCATCTGTGACCCTACAGGAAGAGTCTGAGAGAGCGCAGGACTCGTCTTTATTTTCCTCTTTCTTTGCTTCTCTGGCTAGTGGTGGCTGAAGGAGCCCAAGCTCCAAACAGAGCAAGCAGTCAGAGGGAGCCCAAGGTTTGTTAGCACATCACTTGTGGAGCATTAGTTGTGTTTGAGTCACCTGTAGTGCAGGGGATGCAGTGCTTCCCCTCCCTGCCCACTCTTTTTCACACTCCCTGTCAGATGGAGTAGTGTACATGTGTCAGTAAATAGATAATGGTCAGCAGCTTGGTTTAAAAGCTTCCCTTCTTCCCATGCTTTGCAGAAGGACCCTGTGCTTCATCCCCGTAAGCTGTGGTCAGATGACACCTTGAGTGACACCTCAGGTTCTGTGATGCCAGGATTCCCTGAGCTTCATTATATTCCTGGCTTTCGCCTCCCTTTCCATCTCCTGTACCTTGAGCAGTAAATGCTATTACAGGGATTGTGAAATAAAACGTCGTTCCCCACCTTGGTCCTTTCACTTCATTTGAGTGGGCCCAGCTGAAGGAGATGGGTTGTAACAACACAGAACTTGCCTTCAGAGCAAAAGCACTGGTTGCAGCTGGAGGTGCTTGGGCTTAGCTGGGATCTCAGCTACGCCTTCTTGTGTGTTTGGGGTGATGGCACATCCCAAACAAAAAATGAGCAGCAGTCAGGTTTGTGAGAAGGCAATTAGGTGAAATGTGCACGGAGGACTTTGTACAAACACATCTCACCTCTTGCTGGCACGTATCTGGAAAGCCGAGGGTTGCGTGTTTTGGCATGCGTGGTGTTTGACAGTGGAGTGCAGCTTAGTTTTTTGTTTTCCTCTGCCAGTGGGTGGGAATCTTGAGGCTGTGTGTGCGTTGGGGAGAGCTCTGCCTTTGTGGCATTTCACTGCTGCTCCCAATGCCAAATCCAACAGGGAAATCTCCGCTCTCCAACTGGTCCACAATGTGCTTTCTTAGGGCTTAACTCAGGGCAATCACCACTCATCTGTGTGCTGCTGCAGGCCAAGGCAACAAGCAGCAGCTGACCACAGTGGGCAGTTTCCTGGGGACTGGAGCGTGTGCATGGGCTGCTTTAATGAGCTTCAGTGTGATTAAGGCTCCTGCTGTGTGTGTGCTGTCTGCTCTCTGTGATCCCCCATCACTTCTGCTCAGCCCTAGGAGTGCTGTAGGGTTGTGCTTTTGCTACTGCAATGAGAACCACAGGAAAGGTGTGGGAATAGAGGATGTCTGCAGGGAGTGATCCAGGCGGGCTTTCCCAAGCGGAGCAGATGATCTCAGTGGTCTTTTCATTGTAGAATCAGAGTAGTATCATTTGAGTTGGAAAGGACCTTTAAACTAACTTTCCTGTAATGAACAGGGACATCAACAGCTAGGTCAGGTTACTCAGAGCCCATCCAGCCTGACCTTGAACATCTCCAGAGGCTCAATATCCACCGCCAATCTGTGCAACCTGTTCCAGTGCTTCACTACACTTATTAGAAAAAAAGCTTTTCTCTCACATCCAATTTAACTGTCCCTCCCTTTAGTTTGAAATCATTTCTCCTTGCCTTATCAGAACAGATTCTGCTAAAGAGTCTGTCCCCTTCTTTTTTATTGTCTCTGTGAGGATAGTTGCCTTTAATCTTAACAAGAAAGGCAGTGGTCACAGTGCAGTAATAAGGAATAGCTTAGCTTTCCAAAGATCAGGGCTCACCAGAAACTCCAAAAGGAGATGATTTCCAAGTAGAGATACTTCCCTATTTGTTACCAGCCCTAAATGAAATCAGAGGGGATTAGTTAGGAGACCCAGGGTCCACCCCTTCTGCTGGCACAGTGAATGCCTCTCCTCTGTGCTCCTAGGGTTGGCCATAAACAACAATTTCCAACCATAATGGTTCGAAGCGGCCTCATGCTGTGCCTGAGCTCGGGCAGAACTGTTGTTGTGTGGGTTATGCATCACAGGCAGCTCTCCTCATCATCCTTCCAGCACTGGAAGAGCTGATGGCATTGGGCTGCCCTGCTGGACCTCTCTTGGTAGAGGTGAGCTGTGTCCCTGCAGCTCTTCCTGCTCCGTAACCCCTTGGAAAAGTTTTGTTTTTTTCTCCCAACCTTCTTCATTTTGGGGTACACCTTCAGCCTTTCTGGTTTAGGAGTGCCTCCATCTCCCCTCTGCCACATCTCTGCCTGGAGAACCGACGGTGTCACAGGGATTTCTTTGTTTTAAACTTATTTCCACGTTTACCTTCCGCTTGAGCAGCTCGGGCATCCCGCCCCGGCTGTGACCGGGTCCCTTCTCTCTCCCGTGAGCAGCAGAGCTCAACCCAGCGAGAGCCGGCAGCGTTGGAACCGGCTTGCGGGCACATGGCTGCGAGCGCGGGGCGGCGCGGACTACACTTCCCATGGGGCATTGCGGCGGGTGGGCGGTTCCCTCCTCCCCTATTGGTCAGCATCGCCCCCGCTCTGCGCGGGGATTGGTCGCCGCCTTCGGACCCTCCGCGTCCCTCAGCGGAGCCGTGGGCGGAAGTGTGGCGTACGGCGGCCGCGGTGGCTCCGCGGCGTTGAGGTTGGCGCTTCGCGTCCCGCCATGTAACGCGCCGCCGCTCCCCGCCGCCTCCACCCGTTCTACCGCACCGCTGTCCTTCGCTGCTCGCCCGGCTCCTCCCTCTCAGGGATGGGGGTCCGGCGCCCGGCCCGCCGAGGGGGCTCCCGGCCATGAAGGGCGGCGGGGGGGCCGCTCCCAGCACCTGCCCGCCGCGACGGGACCGCGACGTCCGGGGATCGGCGGGGCTCCTCCTCGGTGAGCGCTGGGGGGCGGCGGGGGGACCGGGGAGGGGGAGGGGAGCGGTGCTGGGGGGGCAGCCGGCTGGGGGGGAGCCCGGGAAGTCGGGAAGGGACAGCGGCGGTGCGGGGTGGGGGGAGGGGGTGTTTGGGTCCGTTTTCTGTCCCTTTTCTGTCCGACCCGCTTTGAACGCGGCTCTGGGAATCGCGGACCCGCCGTACCGTTGTGCTGTTGGGGATTCCGACGTTTGCGGTGCTGTGAGTTGAGAGGAGGCTGCAGTTCCATCCGACGCTCTGCGTTCGGGTTTTTATATTTTATGTTATATATTTTTTCGTTTTTTTTTTTTCCCCTCCCAACTCCTCCACGGTTTCCCTCAGCCTTTTTTCCT